GGCTCTCTCCCTCTTCTTCCTCCCGCTCCCCACCTCATGCCTGTCTTTTTAAACCTTCTAAACCTTTAATCAGAGGACTCACTGGGCAGAATAATCACAAATTCCTTTCAGCTCTGCTCTTCCAGAACCCTGGCCTGGAGGTAACCAAGGTGGGGAGACCCAGAGAAGTCCCGTGGCGCCGAGTAGCCCTACAATCTCTCGTGCGTGCAATGAAATACAGAATTGCTCACAGCACAGCTGAGAAAGTGGGACGAGGCTGTTAGCACTGCTGCTCATGTGTTGTACACCTCCAGGGCGAGCCACTTCAACCTCACCTCTCTGAAAAGAGCTGTGCAGTGCACACCCCATGCAACCGCACATAGTATCCTATTCCTACAGGTACCAGGTAAAACATAAAGCAGACACACATTCAGTGTCAGCAGTGGCTTATCAAGAAAACTCACTTTTGTTGTCTGCTTCCTCTGCATTTTCTAATTGCTCTTCTGTAGTGGTAAGGCTGACAGAAAACATGCCAGGCCCACTTCCAAAGGCTTGGAGTGTTCATTAATTCCAAACTGGCCACTCCTGGCTCAGGGCTCCCCACCACCAATGCTGAACTGCCTCCTACTTTTCCATCCCCAAACGAATAAACTACACTTACTCTAACTGACACAAGCAGATCCCACCTGCAGCCCTCGGGAGCCGGCCTGCCCCCAACCCAGCTCCCTGCCATTCCCCTACTCGAACCCTCTGCTCCCCATCACATGGCCTTCTGGCCAGATTTTTCTTTATCAGGCATTTATACTCCAGCAAGAATTTTCGACAAAAAAATTTCTCTCCCGGGGACTGAATTCCTCATTGAACAGCGAGATTCTTGAGAGAGCTCAGCGAGTAAGCAAAGAGAATCTGGAATGGAAACAAGGAAGTAAGCTAACAACTCAGAAATCAAGCTGGTTAGGGACTGCTGAACAGAGTCACGGCATCGTAACTTTTAGGAACAGAAAGGATGTTAGAGGTCAAGCCCACAATTTCAGGTATGGAGAAAATGAGGCCCAGAAAGGAAAGTGGTTTATGCAAGACACACAGCAAGTCAATCTATGACCAAAACCTCGAGTCTAATTCAAATATGATCATCCACGAGAGAAGAAGAAATACAAGCACTCGAGCAAGAAACCCCTGCCCCAGAACGACTTGAGCCCCAAGACATGAAAGCATACACATGTGCTGCGGTGTCAGAGGTGAAGAATCACAGGGGCACACATCTAACTCTCCCACTCTACAGGTGGGAAAGCTGAGGCCAGGGGAGAGCTTGAGGTGCCACTGTCATCCACTGAAGACCTGTGAGTTGCCAGGCGCGGTGCTAACTGCACTTCATCACGATGCCCAGCATTACCACCCCACGAGGCTGGCAGAGGTTGGGGAAGTACTGGCTTAAGGAAATTGATACAGGTTTCCATGCTGTTTAACTGCAGGACTTTTCAGAGCCTTGAATATGCTTATGTGCACTGTGCATCTCCAAGAAAATAGAGGAGAGCTGGGTTTCCCCAGTTATTTGGGCAAGGAAACATCTTTTTGTGAAGCATCTCCTGGGACACATTTCGGTTCTAGATTTGAACCACACACGGCATTCCAAGGGCTCTGCCAAGACAACATGTGTTTAAATGCCCAGTAAGTGGTTCCAGCTGTGTGGGCCCTGAATTCCAGAGACAGGGAGAGGTCACCTTGCAGTTATGCACCACTGCATAAACGGGTTGAGGGCGCCTTCTAGTGCAGGGCCGTGAGCTTTCTGCTGGAGTGGGGTGCAGGCGAGGGACAGGAGGTGGGTGTGCCAGACACCATAGGTGGCACAAGGAAAACGGCACTCCTCGGCCCTCCCGCCCCTGGGGAAGGCAGCCTGTGCCTGGTTCTGGCAGGTCGGTGAGCTGCAGTGACGTAGGTGGTTCCCAGGCCACATCAGTAAAGAGCAGGGTGGGAGGAGATCCTTACCCAACTGCCGTGTGCCCACTTGCCCTCCGCGGCAGATGGAAAGCCCCCGTTGGAAGGATGGGGCAATACGATGGAATCGGCTTGGATCGCTGAGTCACCGCATGGAGGGCAGTTGCCCAGGAAGGTGCACTGGGCTTGGCAGGAGTGGGAGGTGGGTCTTCGCTGAGCTATGTCACTGAGAGCCGGGAGCTATTTGTTACTACGGCGTGGCAGAGCAGGTAGAGGACTGACCAAGGACTGACAAAGCAGACATGAGCGCTTCCCCAGAGCATACGCAGCTCAGCAGGGAGACCAGACGTGTGTGCAAGTAACCAGAATGGGCGAACTGAGCACCTAAGGGCTGCAAATACCATTCTGTGGCAGCTCCGTGTTTTGCCAGATCTCAGTCGGCCTCAGCAAGGCCATGGTAACCGAGTGGAGACTGGAAGGAAAGCTTGAGCTGGGAGATTAAATGCTATTCCAGGTAGAAGGAACAGCATGAATGAAGGATCCAAGGCAAGAAATTAAGGAGTATGAAGCAGAGCCAGTTTTGTCAGAGTTAAGGACATTGGAAGGAGGTGATAGAAATTCAGGCTAGAAGAAACCACTGGCCCCATGAACATGAAGGGTTTTGGATTCGGTTCTTCTAACGGCACTTCTCCCAGGAAACTCTGCCCATCTGCTGAGCTGCAGCTGTAAGGTGAGAGTTCTGTAATCAGGAAACTGCAGGACAGCTTAATCGCCTGCCTCCCTCTGAACAAATCCCAGGCTCATGAATAGACAGAGGCTCTGAGAATTCCTACAGTAGAGAATCCAGGCCACACTTGCTTAACACAGCATTTCTCAGCCTTGTTGGGTCTAGCACTGCTATGAAGGGGGGACCAGAAGATTTACAAGCAGGAGGGGACCCAACCAGAGCCCCGAGGTGATCGGCCCATGGAAGGGACGCCATCCCTGTGCTGTTCAGCCCCTCCTCTGCCCATGCCGGGTGGAGCATCCACACAACCCCTTTCTGCTGACCCTTCCTGCTGACCACCTCATGCCTCAGAGGCTTCAGGGCCTCACTCTGACACGGCGGCTGCAGAGGGGATCCGTCCAACCTCCTGGGGCTCTGTCTGGGAGTTAGGAGTTGACCAACGAGAGAAGGGGACCAATGAATAAACACCCCTGCCCCAATCTGGGGGACAGTTCTGGGAGGTGTTCTGTGAGCGCCTTGGGATGTCCTGACATCTTAGGAGCCCCCGCTGCCCCCAGGGACCTCAACCTGACACCCTTCCCTCCCCCACTCTATCACTCCTGCACCCTACACCATCTCCCAAATCAACCACCAGATCCCAAGGGTACAGCTCGGGGGACACCCAAGATAAGGCCAGGAACGTATGAAAGGAGCCCAGAGAGGCAAAAGGTTAGAGAGATCTGGGGAAAAGATCTCTGAAGGGTTTTGCAACGGACCCAGAAAATAAAACTTCTAAGCGAATGTTGCTCCACAGGGAAACATCAGCCAAAGCAGCTCATGACAAAAAGCTGAGTGTCACCAGGCTTCCTCAGGGCCACAACCTACCTAAGCTTCTTCCCCGCTATTTCCAAGCCCTGCAGAGACTTTTACCACTGCCTTGACTTCATGGGTTTGGAAACCGAGGCTCAGAGAGGCACACTTCCTCCAAACTGGGCGACTTCCCACCCTCACAATGTTCTGGTGGAAGAAGCTGCAGGACTGGATGACCATTGGATATTGGGCAAAGAGAAGAGGAAAGCTGACTTGGAGGTCAGCATGCACCGAGAAGGCTTCTTGGAGGAGGCGGGTCCATCTCCAAACATGGACCCTTTGCCAGAATCCAATGCAAATACGCAACATTGTTATCATCATTATGACCGGTATGACTGCCCTCCGCCCAGCGGAAAGCCTGGTGTCTGGTAGGCGTCTGTGAGCCCTAGTCAGTCTCTGGCTCAGCCAGGGTCTTTAAGTGCTCATTCTCCAAGGGGGGAGGATCTGCAAGTCAGGTGCGTTGTCAAGTAGCCATCTTGCACAGACCACAGCTCAGGCACCAGCTAGAAGAAGGTGAGCAGCCCCAAACAGGGAAGTGGCGGATGTCTGATCTTCACGCACCACAGACATCTAACCTGGACAAGCATGCTCCCCCTGGGGCATCTGCACACAACGACTCATGAGTCTCTCACCGAACAAGCCAGTGAGCAGCAGTGTCTATCACTCGGGCCTTGTTGGGGTGGGGGGGTTGGTGGAGGAGAACCATGTCCTGGCCCAGGTTCCAGCCGCTGGTCTGCCCCCGGCAGGGCTATGTAGACAAGGCAAGCTGGGCTGTCAGCTTTGAGCTGTCAGGCTCCACGTGCCCCTGCCCTGCTCATCCCGCGGCCCTCACGGGCCCAGGGATGTATCATCAGAGATCATTTTACTCCCAAGAGGACTTATAAATCGTCCTTTTATGGGGATGGTTCCCACAGAATGTCTGCCTCACTGCCAGAGTAAAAAGGGAAAGAAACAAGGAGGGGAGACAGAGGCCTGGGCTCCAAGTGGAGAAGCAAGATGACAATATTTGTTCAGCGGGCCGGAATGGAGGCCCCGAAAGAGCTCCACGTCTGGAGAGCCAGGCCTTTGAACTGTCCCACCTTTGTTATCCTAAGAGGCTTGACGATAAGCCCACCCAGCACAAAGATACTCTCAGTTCCAGGCATATGGACCCCATTAATCTGCCCTCGCACCTTTTAAGAACTTTGCAGCTCCTGCCGCCCCCAAGCTGAAAATAGGGCGAGAGCCGAGGGTTAATTTTCTTAAATGGATTTTAGTCAGGCCTGGCCTGGCCTCTCTGGAGTGCACGAGGCTGACAGCTGGACCGCCGGCCGCGATTTGTCCTGTGGTAATAATGACTGCCCAGTGCTGACGTCCATGGCGGATGCAGTGAGCACGGAACTCGCTGGTCATCCAGCCGAGATGTCCTGCTTGGCCCAGGTCCAAATCCCACCGGCCAGCTGTGTGACCCTGGGCACCCTCCTCAGCATCGCTGGCCCTCAGTGTCCCCCTCGGCAAAGCGGCCGAGATCATGACTGCCCGCAGCACTGCCAGCTGCGCGACAGGAGCTCAGATGCGGAAGCCACGTGATAAACGCTGCACAAACAGCAGCCCGCGGAGGGAGGCAAGGGACACAGCAAGGCTGAAAGCACAGGCAGCCTGGCACCGAGGGCCTCAGCGGCGGGGTCTCCAGTGCCCCCACCTGGCCCCGACGCCTCAGACTGTCCTTCAGGCGAGTGGCCCCGTCCAGAGGCTGTGAGTCTACACTGGCCTCCACCTGCACTTCGTCTGCACGCAGCTCTCATGGGAGATGCTGGATTCCAGACCTCTAAGCGGGGCGCACCATTGGCTTGCCCGCGGGACTCTTTAGAGCCTCAAGTGTGCTCATGGACAGCTCTCTAAGCTGTGTGTCCTTGATCAGGTCACTGAGTGCTTTGACCTCAGTTTACCCATCTCCGCGGAGGGAGGATCAAACCACAGCCTCCTTGGGCTGCGCGGTTGTTGAGAGGGTCCCGTGAGATGAGGAAGGCCTGGAGGAAACACTCACAGACAGCAGTTGTGCACCTTCAGCTCCATGGAGAAGACACTGGTGCCCAACTCGGGCACAAACAGCATGGATTAGAGAAATGGCCACTTCTATCCTGCCCCCCTCCACAGGCTCAGGCTGGCCTGTCCCGAGTCTCTACCATCAGTGGTTCCAGGCTGACCCCTCCTCATGCTCCAGGTGAACCCTCGGATTCTGTCCGTGTGCTACTCGCTCATCAGCCTCTCTGGACACGGCCTTCTCGTTCCTGGAATTTAAGGGGGCAGCTCAGGCCACAAGCTTCTAATTCGCCTTATTTTTATTTTCATCTGCTTGCTCACATTCATTTAGAAAAAAAATGACATAGCCCTTAAAACACACTGTAAGGAGTCCAGTCCTGATGCCACTGTCTGCAGTAAATTGCACAGAAAGTATCGATGTCTCCCCTGGACTGCAAATGCAACTGATCAAAGCAATTCTCCACGAGCACGCAGACACAAACAGAACCCACTGCAGGCAGAGTGATGAACCTCCAGGGGAAGTCGCCAGAAAGGAGAGGTTCCAGGTCTGGCCAGAATCGCCCACTGTCTGTTCTCTGGAGAGAACCAGCATGGCAGACCAGAGTCCATAGGAAAATGGCTTCATATTTGACACTAAATTACTGACCTGGAATTCACTAGGTATTTCTGAATTCTGTTTTTCAATCCTCCCCTTTCTTTTTTTAAAATAAAAGCATATGAGAAACATGTAGGCAATTTCCCCAGGCAGACTGTTGCTTGACAAAGAACATGCTTAAGACTTAGCAGCACTTAAGTCTCTTTTTTCATTTAACTTATAAATGTGACTCTGAGATGGCTTGTGTATAAAAACCGGCCTAGATGAATTTTATCCAGTCGTTCCCTGGGGGTTGGAAAAGCATTAACACGTAAAATGAACCCACCATATACATGCAAAGGAAATGAAATCAGGATCCCAGTGTGATACTGCACCCCATGTTCATAGCAGCCCAATTCACAACAGGCAAGACATGGAAACAGCCTGAGTCCACAGGTGGAGGAATGGATAAAGAAGATGTGGTGCATACATACACAATGGAATACTACTAAGCCACGAAAAAGAATGATGTCCTTTGCAGCAACATGGATGGACTTGGAGGGTATTCTGCTAAGTGAAATAAGATAGATAAATACTGTATGACATCACAAATACATGGAATCTGAAAAAGCTCAATTCAGAGAAGCAAACAGTGGGATGTGGTATCAGGGGCTAGGGAGAGGGGGAAATGGGGAGATGCTGGTCAAAGGGTACAAACTTCAGTTGGAAGGAGGTGAGTTCCAGGGTCCAACACACACAGCACGGGGCCTACAGTTGACCACACTGCATGATATACTCAAAGGCGGCTGAGAGAGTGAATCTTAAATGTTCTTACCACGAGAAGGAAGTGGTAGCCATGTGAGGTGATGGAAGTGCCAACTAACCTTATTGTGGTGATCACTGTGCAATACACACATGCATCAAATCCCCACATTGTACACCTGGCGCTCACACAATGCTACGCGTCTATCAAGTGTGCAAAACCAGAAAGCATGTAACAGACGCACCCACTGATGAAGGCATCAGCACAGGGGCGCTGAAGGAGGGTCCAAACATGCTCTATACTCTCCACCAACTTTCTATAAACATAAAACTTCTCCAAAAAAATAATAATAATAAAAGTCTACTAAAAACGAATGGATTTTTTAAAAAGAAAAGATGAACCCCAGGTGTTTGGGTCTTACAATTACGGCTGATGTTGGGTGTGGGTGAGAGGAGGTGGGTGTCCTGGTCTGATGTTCTGCATCTCCAGAGAAGGCCTCGATGCCGTAACCACCCACCCCGACAGTGTGACGGCCCTGCTGCTGTGGCCTGCTGCTGGAGGCCACAGTTCTCTGAGGTGGGGGTCCCAGTTAGGTCACCAGGGTCTGTGGCCTTACCTCTGGACCTATCCAGAAGTAGCTAGGGGACCCAAATCCACACCTTCTGACCAAGCCTGGACTCGAGGAGCAGGCGGGTGTCCTTCCACCTGATGGGGAATCGGCGTCTGTCGTCAGCCCTCGCACAAAAACCTCTTTATTCCTGGGACACCAAAGGAGTCCTTTTCCACGGCCCCACCCGCTCCCCAAAGTGACATGTCGTCAGCGCCAGCGGTCTCCTTCTCGGCCCAGCCCTGTAACCACCTGAACACCCCCACCCAGGCCGCCAGGCCCCGACCCAACAGGAGGGCGTTTGGCACCGAGGCACCGGCCTCGCCCACACTGAGGGCCTGTGTGCCTGATGAGTCTGCTTCCCACCGCCCAGCTGCCCTGGCTCTGGTTTCAGCCAGCCACCAGCTTCCTCTCCCACAAACGGGCCTCAGAAAGTGCCCAGGCCAAAAACACTCCACCTCAGCGAGCGCTTACGCTTTCCTGGCAGCTCCTCCCAGAGGCCAATGGGGTCCAGGGCCAAGCTGACCTGAGCCAAGCTGGGCGCTGACTTGCAGGCCCAGGAGAGACAAAAAAAAGACCCCTGGTGGGTCAGAAATCGCCTTCTCTTCCTTTCGGGGGCAACACAACCACCCGATGAGGGTGGCGACACCCATGTGAAGACTCCCATGCCGGGATGGGAACTGCAACCCTTTTTCTGGGCGGTGGCTGAGCACCAGCAGGTGCCCGGCACGCACCATGGGCCCCACTCGGGGCTTCCAGCAGGCCTGGCTTTTAACTCTCCTGCCGGCTCAGAGTGAAGCTCAGCCTGCACATGGCTCTCCTTCCCTGAAGGCCTCTCGTGCCCCTTCAGCTGCTGCCTAGAGTGAGAGGGACCCCCACACGCCTGTCCCCACCTGGGCATCCATAAAGCAAGGGCAGGCCATGCCTTGGGTGTCACAGATGTGCACACCCTTATCACATTATTAGAAACTGCCGGCTCTATGTTCTCTGCCTCTGGAGAGATGCCAGACCAGGCCCGAGCTTGCCCCACATCTCTCGATTCCTGATGCTTGAGACCCCTGAGACGCAACTGAGCGGGCACTGCTGATCTTCACACGAGACCCCTGGCAGAGCCCTCTGGGATCCTTCTCCATCTACCCTTGCCCAGAACAACTGCGTTGAGACACTCTGGGGGTGAAACCTCTCACTTTTGGTTAGCTGAGGATCCCGGTGTGGGGACTCATCCTAAAAGGTCTATCCCCATCACCTCCCCCAGAAACCCATGTAGCTCCCTCCGTCACCCTCTTCGCATCCTACCTTAATGTACATGGTCTCCAGAGGCCTTCCTGACTACCCTACTTGAAATTGCAATTTCAGGGAAGTGAAGGTCTAAAAATAATTTGTTTCCCTTCCATTAACAAATGTTTGTTTAACATCCACCACACACCAAACACTGCCTGAGGCCCAGGGATGTGAGCGGAGGGCGTCTCTTCACCTGCTGGCAAGAGTGGGCCCTGAGTGAGGCTCTGGGCATGAATCGACTCTCCTGAGGCCACTGGGGTTCTGCGTGAGAGTCAGGACCCTGCGCGGGGCCAAAGGAGGCCTATGACCAGGGCAGGAGGAGGCTGCAAGCCTTCCTTTAGGGAAAAGGGCCAAACCAGTGATTTATCGCGGAGCGGTATCTCAGGAGACGTGAGCCAGAAGGCAGTCAGGCAGGCGGTGATGGCTTTCGCAGCAGACAACGAGCCCCTGTTTGGACGGAAAGGTACCCAGACGGCTATAATTTAATTGTGTTTATGTGTTGCCGCGTAATCCATTTTAAATATGGGCGGACAGGGGTGCTGGACAGGAGATCAGGAGTGAAATCCGAAATGAAAAGTACTCAGGGAAGAGCAGGCCACCCTGCAGTCACCGGGGTGGGCTCAGGACCGTCAGGAAGGCAGGGGCCTTGGACACGTCCTCTCTGTCTCAGCTTCTTCACGTACAGAGTGAGACGTAGGGAGATGACAGGATTCTAAATCAGCAGTGAGCTCGACCTGCTGTGAGCCCACAGGGTGATGGAAACAGCCCACATGCGACAAGGGGTGCTTGTGCGCCAGGCACTGCGGTGCCTGGAGGCGGGAGGCTGGAACACAGAGAGGTTAGCAGCTTTCCTGGGGTCACACAGCCAGCAAATGATCATGCCAGGGTGCACACCCAGCCACTCCCCAGCCTCCTGAGGGTGGCAGGGGGTGCAGCTGGCAACCTTAGCGTGAATATTAGGCTGTAGGAGGAGGAGCAAATGACCAGGGGGAGACTGAGTGGTCACACCTCTCTGAGGTGCAACGGCAAATTCCCAGGGGTGTGCCATCAACAGGAAAGGAAATAAAAAGCATCCGGATTGGAAGGAAGAAGTAAAATTAAATTTACTAATAGATGGCAAGAATAAAATACTGAAGAATAATTTTTTTTTTAAGTACAAGACTTGGAGAGTGAAAATTATAAAACTACAGAAGGAAGTGAGAGAAGACCTATAGAGAGACGGTCCAGGTTCACAGGTTAGGAGACTCACCACTGTTAAAATGACTGTTCTCTCAAACCGATCTGTTGAGTCAATGTAATCCCATCAAAATGCCAGTTTTTGTTTTTGTTTTGTTTTTTAACAGACATTGACAAGCAGATTCTAAAATGTTTGATGTGAAGTGAAGTGAAGTCACTCAGTCGTGTCCGACTCTTTGCGACCCCATGGACTGTAGCCTACCGGGCTCCTCCGTCCATGGGATTCTCCAGGCAAGAATACTGGAGTGGGTTGAGGTACAAAAATGTCTAAATGTTGTAAATTCACCATTTAGTGTTCTAAATGTTCACCACTGGTGATGGCTGCGCCACATTTTTTAGTGAAGTTACTAAAATCACTGAATCATACATCTGCAATGGTTGAATGGTATGTAAAATAGGTAACTGTAAAGTTGTTTTAAAGATTCTCAGGATGCCTGAGTTTAATAAGAAAGACTCAGGGTCTCCATCCTCAACTCCATGGGCAACAAGAAACACTCTTCACGACCTTTCCTGCAGGGTCAGACCCAGAGAAGCTGAGAAACTCTGTTCTCTGCGGCAAGGAGGTGACGGGGTGTTCGGAGGTCAGAGACCCTGATAAGGGATCTTTTGAGTTTCATTTAATCCCAAGGCCCGTCTTATGTTCAGATGCCCCTTGCCACCCTGTAAGCTCTGTGACCTTAGGCAAGACACTTGCCCTCTCCGAGCCTCAATTATTTCAGCAATTAACTGGAAGTAACTGGCGCATGGAATTCAGTGCCAGAGTGTGGACTCAGAGCTCCTGACTTCCAGTCGAGTGTCTTTTCCATTATGATCTGTACTCTGCACCCCTTTAGTCATCACAGATTCCGTGAGTGTCTGTAGCTGTGCTAACCTGAGTCAGCAAATGAAATGTTGGTTCCACCACAGAAAGAAGGACGCGGCCGCCTGATGCCTGCCATCCTCATGCCCAGGGACTCCCAGCCTCCACTCCTGGGTGGACGCAACCACCCCACCTCTGTCAACATGCCCCCAACCCCTCAGCCACCCCATATCTCCATGACACCACGTCCTACCAGCTCCTCACTCCCTCATATTCCCCCCATCTCAGTGACCCACCTCCAGGGCCTCACTATCCCGCCCGGCCCTGCGGCCTCCCCTCCACAGAGCACCTAAAGCTGTCAGACTGTGAGACTCCAGCTGGAAATGCTGTTGGCTCTTGTTTCCTGGACTGTGGGCTTTCTCTCCCCGTCTCTTCGGGAGAAGGGGTCACCATGGCTTATATTTCTTATTTTACATGACACGTCCGAGCTCCTGTGTGTCGGGATCGTGGTGGGTGGCTCAGCAGAGACAGCAGTCTGTGAACTGGCCAGCCAGAGGAGAAACTGACCCCGAAGCCGGCCAGAAGCAGCATTACGCTTGGCAGGGGAGGCACAGCATGGAAGACTTCCAGGAGGGAGAGCATGAAGGAGGAAAATCCAGGAGAGCGCCAGGAACCCGGCCACTCCCCCACCCCCAACCCCCCGGCGGCAGGTGGGGGCAGGTAAACCGAGGCAGCGGCTCTAGGCAGCTGGCAGAGACCCCAGGAGGGCTGGGACGAGCATGTCCCTGAGCCAAGCTCGGTCTTCTCCCCCAGTGACAGCAATCACAGCCTCCCTCCTTAATATTTCATCTGAAGCCGGGAGAGAGGAGGAGTTCCCAGCCTGCTGAGCTGGGGCCGGAGGCCCAGAGCCCACAGGGCCTGGGAGAGGCTGGTATGAGTCTGTCCATTCCCCCACAGGTGGGTGGCCGACCTGCCCACACAGGCCAGTGGAGAGCAGAGGCGCTCAGGGGTGGAACAGAGTAGGGACAGCTCTCCTGGCATTTCCCCCGTATTTCTTCCAGACAAAGCTGCACACACCACATATGAGAACAACTAAATGAAGCTGAGAGAACCTTCCAGGCAGCTCTGCAGCATCCTCAGCAGGCGGAGGGGGCATGAATCCCGCTCTGGGTGCGTTCCTCCCGGCCCTCTCCTCCCCACCAACCTGCTCTCCCTCACTCCTCCTCCAAGCTGGCCCTCGGGGCTAACACTGTCTCATCAAGACAGGACCAGAGAGGCTGCACCCGCCTCCCCTTCCTGGCCACAGGCCCTAGACCAGGGCCATCAGGCTTTTTCTCGAAAGCCCCAGAGAGTAAACAGTTTAGACTGTGAGGGCTGTGGTCTCCGCCATTGCAGTACAAAACCAACCACGGACACCAGATGAATGAATGGGTGTAGCGGGGCTCCAATAAAGCTTTATTCACAAAAGCAAGTGGGAGCTTGCCTGTGGCCCACAGGCACTGGCTTGCTGGCCCCCTGCCGGAGAACGCCAAGTGGCTTCATGGATTTGAAGGGTGTCTGAGGTCCTCCCTGGAGAAGGAAACGGCAACCCACTCCAGTATTCTTGCCTGGAGAATCCCAAGGACAGAGGAGACTGGCGGGCTACAGTCCATGGGGTCACAAGATCAGACACAACTGAGCGACTGAACCACCACCACCTGAGGTCCTCGGCGAACAGGAAAAAGTAATAACCGAGGTAATGATGAGGGTGATGATAAACGCCGAGGACCAGTGCCCTGTTACAGCAGCCTCCTGACTACTGAACACTTACTGAGCTGGGAGAACAGTGACGGGCGAGACAGAGGGGTGCCTGCCCCCCAGAGCGGGCAGTCTGACAGAGAGCCCTGCACACCACACAAGGCAGGGGCTATGTGCATCGGCATCTGACAGATGAGGGACCTGAGGTTTGGGGAGGTGCGTGATGCACCCACGGGGGCATACGTGATGAATCCCAGTGGTTCCAGACTCCTATTTGACACAAGGTGGCCTCACAAGCTGTGTGGGCCCAGGGAGGGACAGTCCCCTTCCCTGAGCTCCCTCCAAGGGACGCCGCCAGGGAAGGCAAAGAGCAGACCACGGGGCCACCTCCCTGGGGCACCACGAGGGGCGGCAAGCTTGCATTTCTCAAACGACACACGATTCTACACAACACCAGCTCCAATGCTCCTTTTAAACAAAGACTCTATTCTCTTGCCAGTGTCCTCACCTCAGGTGGGAAGAAGCTTTGATCTATCACTTACATTCCTGGGCTGTCAGGTGACAAGCGACCCCATCCCGACACCACGGGTGACGGACGTGCCTTTGACTACCAGGGTGTAAGAAACGAGGCCCCGCGGGCCAGCCGGCGCCCAGCGGGGGACAGGCTGCAGGCTGCTCGGTGAGGCAGCGAGTCCCAGCCTGCCCGACGTGGGACCCTACAGCAGCCCACCCAGAGGAGTCCCAGGCACGACTGAGGCCAGGTCCTGCAAAGCCTAACCCACTGCACGCATCCCGCCAGTGACCCCGACATACCACGCGGGCCACGGAACCACTGGGCACCACAGAATAGTGAGAAACACAAGGTCGTTGTCCAAAGCCAGTAAACTGGGATGGCTCGTTAGGCAGCAGTGGCAATCAACAGGTGTCCACCACTCCCTGCAGCCCTGGGCACCTGCCTCTTCATACACCTCTGCATTGGGAATCGTGACAGCCTGGCCGCAGATGCCATCGACTCCGCTCCGGGCTGATTCCCTCGGAAAGGAATGCAGGAGTAGGGACGGCCAGACTCCAGCTACCTTCTGGAGGAGCAGCCACCAAGAACTGACACCGTTGATGCTATTTGAGCTGCTAGAGCTCAAAGGCCCGGTTGTCACTCCTTGTTTTCTATGCCCCCATCATCGGTGGCAGATTTCTGCCCGAGCTGCCCGGCCTGGGAGCTGCGATGTCGGGACCCGGTGGGGCAGTTAATAACCAACCCAAAGTCAACAACCCACACAAGCCGCCCTTTCATGGGAGGAGTCACAGCGGCCACTCCCCAGTGGCATCTGAGCAGTAAGAATGCCCTTTTGCATGGCCTTTTCCTGCTGACAAGGCCCAGGTAGGGGACAGAGTAATCCAGCGGTCAGAGTGGGTCCTGGGGTGTTCGAGAACCTGGGAGGGCTCATCCCCATTAGGAAGGGGCTGCCAGACGTCCGTGAGTGTCTGCTGAATGCTGGGTGCTGTGCTAGGATGTTTACAGAGAGATGGCCTGTTTTAAAAGGTCCTCCCACCTTTCTAAAGGGGATGTTTAGGGAGGTGAAGCTTTCTGTATGCGGAGAAGGCGATGGCAACCCACTCCAGTACTCTTGCCTGTAAAATCCCATGGATGGAGGATCCTGGTAGGCTGCAGTCCATAGGGTCGCTAAGAGTTGGACACGACTGAGCAACTTCACTTTCACTTTCCACTTTCATGCATTGGAGAAGGAAATGGCGACCCACTCCAGTGTTCTTGCCTGGAGAATCCCAGGGATGTGGGAGCCTGGTGGGCTGCCGTCTATGGGGTCGCAGAGAGTCGGGCACAACTGAAGCTACTTAGCAGCAGCAGCAGCAGCAGCATTCTGTATGAGGCTGTAAGTGGATAACTCGCAGAACATCCAGCACCAACAGTGAACCCTACGGACTTCTGTTAGTTATAACCTATCAGGGTTACTTCATCACCTGTTACAAATCATCACGCAAATGCAAGATGTTAATAGTAGGAAAAACTGTATGAGAACTCCCTGCACTACTCAACTTTCTGCAGACTTAAAACTACACTAAAAATTAAACTCTATTAATTTAAAAGGAAGGAATGGGTCCTGGGTGGGAGGGAGGAAGGGAGAGACAGAGACAGCTACGCCACTGAGAAGGCTGGGAACTTTGCAGGGTGGAGCAGACCCATCTGGTCACTGTTGGTGTCTCCTGGGTGTGAAGACTATGGGGTTTGATCCAGCAGGACCCGGCTGCTGGGGAAAGGGTAGGGCTGGGCGGTGGAGGGGCAGGCAGGAGGCCAGGAGGCTGTGACCAGGAGCTGGGTGTGAGGTGTCGGCGCACACCAGGGGCAGCCCTGGAGGTAAAGCCAGTGTTCCCGGGGACTGCGGCAGGAAGGCAAGGGGAGAGGAGGTGCCCCCACCCTGTCCTGTCCTAACTGGGAGCTCTGGGGTGAGTCGTTCTTGCAAATTACATAAATATCAGTAATTTTTTATGTGTTCAAGTTGCATGAGTGGTGTTCCAAGAAATAACAATTTATGGAAGCAAAGCAAAGGCCTTACTGTGGTAACTCTGACATGATTCTGTGCAGAGCTGCTAATGTTTCTAGACGAGCTGGATTTGGAAGTATTTCTGGTACATGGGTTTTTGCCGCACGTCACCTATCTTTGTAAATGCTTCAACAGAAGAAATGCAAGCAGAAGTGGGGGGTGTCACTGCAGACACACTAAGTGAAATCAGAAGCTGACCTTCCATGGTGCACCTAAGCCCATTGCAACAGCAAACCACAGTCAGGCCAGTGGATAAAACTTTTTCAATGTTAAAAAAGGGAATTTAATTTATATAAAGTAGTATGCACTTAAGGCCCAGACTGCAAATGCTTTTGGATGCAGTCTTAGCCATTCAACCAACGTAGATACCAAGTCAAGGGAAACTTCCTAAGTCTGGATTATCTATGAAAAAATGAACATCAAGATCTTCAGATAGGGCCATTAGTAGACTGTGTTTTTAAGATTTCAACATCAAGACTACAAAGTTTTAATTAATAAATATGTGTGGTGGCACAATTGTTTAAAGATTTTATTTGACATTTTATTTTGTGTTAATATGTCTTTCTTTTAATATTTTCTATTATCAGACATCTGAATCAGGTGCAAATTAATGTGAAATGCTATTATTGAATACATAATATTGGCAAAATATATCGATTTAAAACAGTAATAACCTATGCTTTACCATTGCATTTTTTACTTTAAAAAAACTTTGAAACTTCTCATATAATCTAACCCCAGAAAATGATTTACCGTTCACTATTATGGTCTTTCATTGTTATTCAAGACACTATAAGCACCGTAGAATGTAAAGTAATTTACAATTTCAGAAATTCTTGTATTTTCCCAGGAACTTTGATATGTTGTTCCTGAATCCCAAAGATTAATATCTGCTGAGGATCTGGGAGTCCTAGCCTAAACTGAGTAGCAGGAGCCAATACGGGTGATAGAAGTGGACAGGATGAAGACATGGAGCAAAGCAGAGATGCATCCTGGCACAGTGGCCAACGCCAGTGGCAGAGGTATCTGGTGTTTGCATGGGGGATCAGGGCATTTAAGAGAACAGAGACAGAGCAGATATTTGTGCTGGAAGATGCACACTCTCCCTCAATCTGCCCTCTACTGCAAGTTCATACATCCCTGCGGGAGGCAGCACCACAAGCTCCTGACCAGCCGCTAAGTGGGGACACAGTCTGGTGGGACCTCTCAGGTCTCACAAGTGGCTGCTCCTCCACACAGACACGGGGGCTGCACCAGCGCACTCCCCAACACATGTGGGCCACAGGGGTTGGGGAGTGCGTGGGCTGGTTCTCCACCACCCGCCCCTGCACCCTGGTCCAAGTTGGCCCCAGTCGGTTGGGCAGCAGGTTCCCCAAGCCTTGTGGGAAGGGCCTCCGACCAGGCTGGACACGACGCTCTGGGTACACGCACAGTGTTTTTCTTTGAGGCTTATGAGCATTTATCCGCGTCGTAAATTGTCACCTACTTCCCCTGAGGGGTTCCAGGCCGGCGATCCAGGGAGGTCTTGACTTCCCCAGGAGCAGGGAAGCGAGGCTTCCTGATTAGCTCATGGGCAGGTAAGGGTGCCTCCCGCCACGAGGATCCACAGCGCTCACTCCTGGCCCTGGTTCATTCACGCCTTCACCCGCTCACCCTTCAACAACACTTGGCAAGTGCCCTCTGGACCAAGCCTGCGCTCCAGGTCTCAGAGGAGGAAAGAACACACAGCAGAGGGGAAGACACGCACTCAGAAATGCAGGCGCCTTTCAGAGACACTGAAGTATTTACCGATGATATGATAGGATGTCTGGGCTTTGCTTCAAAAGGAACCAAGAGAGAGGGAAGCGGCTGGACATGTGTGAGGGGGCAGGACTGGCATGGGAGGAGGGTTTCTGGGGCTTTGGGGGTGGGGCGAGATAAACACATTTATTATCCTGTTCTGTCTGCCTCTGAGTACACGTCTCAAGAGGAATCATGACAGCAAATGCTAACAGCCTCAGTGAGGATGCCCAGCACGAGAGTCGGGGGGGTGAGGGCTGAGAGCCCGGCTCGGCCACCTTTCGAGGGGCGTGGCCCTGGGCAGCGTCCAGGGCAGCTCACCATGAGGTGTGGACAACACCAGCACGGCCTCCCCGTGCCGCGGGATTAATGAGCCATCGCTGTCTGCAGGAGCTCCAGCGGGTCCCCGCAAGGCAAGCTCCCCGCCACTGATGTGACTCTTCTTTTTCCAGATGAAGACACCGAGGGTCAGAGTGGCAGAGACACTGGCTTGAGACCACACAGCTCAGGAAATGGCAAGGCCATGGCTGGAAACCAAACCCGTGGGGCTCCAAAGTCCCTCCCATTCCAGCTTGGGACTGGGTGGGCGGACATGGTGCAGCACAGCAGGAACCCTCATCTGCCGGCTGCAGGGAACCCCTGAAGGCCCGACGCCCTACCAGGGAGAGGCCTCGCTCCGTGCGGATGCCAAGACCTCCCCAGAGCAAGTCCTGTGGGGGGCCAAAAGTGGTCAGACTCAGGTGCCCTTGGCACTGGAGGGAGAGGCTTTGGAAGCCCAGAGGTCAGGGACAAACCTCTAGGGCTGGGTGCTGCTGCCACCACCCCTGAGCTACACGGTCTACCCACACCACCTCCGGTGATGCCTGCTCTTCCCTCGGTCCTAACTTAGACCTCACCCGCCCACCCCGGGAAGCCCTCCCAGAATCCACAGCCTGGAAGTTCCTCAGAAAATCAAACACAGACTCAGCATATGACCCTTCCATTCCACTCCCAGGTACAAATCCAAGAGAGGTAAAACAGGTTCTCAAGCAAAAAATCTGTACATGAATGTTCATAGCCACACTTTCCATAATAACCAAAAAGACAGAAACGGCACAAATATCCACCAATGGATGAACGAATAAGCAAACTGTAGTCACAATACAGTGGAATATTATTCAGCCATAAAAAAGAATTGAGTACAGGTATGTGGTACAAGGCACAGAACCCCAAAAACAGGCTAAATGAAAGAAGCCAGATACCAAAGGCCATGTATTGCAGGATTCCACTTACATGAAGTGGGGAGGGGGTGGGGAGTGACAGCTGATGGGCACAGGGTCTCCTTTTGGGGTGACGGAAACATTCTAGAACGAGATAAAGGAGCTGATTGACTTAAACACATTAAATTGCCACTGAATTGTTCACTTTAGAGCTCATTCCATGTTATGTGAATTAACCTCCATTTTTTTCAAGAAAGGGAGGATGCAGTTCACGATGACCCGAAGCCCTGGAAAGTCCATTATCCTACTCCTGACATTATATAAGTGCGAGGCTGGCGATACAAGGGAGGCGGCGGGAGGCAGCTGTGCTGGCCAGGAACACAGGGTGCGGCTTGAAACGCTCGCGGTTTAAAGTAACAGGAAGCCTGAGCAGCACCGTAAATCAGGATTTTTTGACTGGGCTGCTTGTGCTGAGCAGAACAAAATGGATTGAATGTCCTGGGTAGGTGTAAGTCCCCATTGCCAGGCCCTACCAGGGGTCGGGGGGAGGCCTCTAATTTGACACTGGCCTCAAACTGAAAATCGCTCAGCAAAAAGTGAGGTTTCAACATTTTAAGGAAAATCGAGCTGGAACTGGCATTAAACATGAGCCAGAGGATTTCAGTAACTGCAAGGAAAATACAAACGGACAAACGTCTCGCATGGCTGAAGCAGCTGGGGGAATGTTTCCTCTTCGGAGGCCCGTTTAGGAGCTCAGGGCTGTGGCTGCAGGTGACGAGGCTGGGCCTGGGCCAGGCGGTGTCTGCCTGCTCATACCAGCTTCTCAAGCCTTATCATCCACGCCCCCCCACATCATCCCCTGCTGGACCCTGTGGCTTTGGGGTGATGGCACTCAAAGACTGGACCCCAATACTTCTGGATCTGGGCTGGCTGGAAACAGACACATGGGATTTGTGTAAACCCCCAGAGTTTCCTTCCTGCGCCTCTGAGGGTGTGCAGTGCTGCCTGGGCTGGTGGGCAGCCTCTTTCGGAGACACGGGCTTCCCCTCTGCATAATGAGGAACTGACACCACCGCACCGTCTGTTCTGAGAATCAGACTGGGGTTTGCGCTCTGGTCTGCCTACCTGGCATGCTCCGCCTTCCCTTCTCTCAAGGGCCAACTCCATCATCCTGTGAGTCTTACCTTGAACCTGACTCTCAGGGCTGCCTGTCTGAGCCCTAGACTGGGTTAATCTCTTTGTTAGACCCTCTCCCCGTGTCCCTTGCTGTCAACCCTGTGCTCCCTGGAATTATTCATACACACACCCCGCTCTGGATAATCCAAGGTGCTCTGCCATCTCAAGGTCCTTAACTTAATCACATCTGCAAAGACCCTTCTGCCAGGTCAGGTCTCAGATCCACAGGTGTGGGGATTAGCACACGGACATCGTGGGGGCCATTATTCTGTCCACCACCAGCAGGAAAGCTGCTCTTTCATCTTCGTCCAAAACAGACACAATTTATGGCCCGATGGAACTGGCAGCTTGGTAGGGGAGAAAGATAATAAAACAACTGCATGAATAATTGCTCTAAGGATGCCTAGCCTTTCTATCTCAGTGATGACAATGACAAAAATATGTATTTATATAGCATTTACTGTACGCCAGGCTTTCTGTTAAATACTCATAGACATTGCCACATTTCAAACAATTATGTTAGAGGGTGAGTCTTATCAGTCCCACTTCACAGAAGTGAAAACTGGGGCTTGGGGAGGTTATGATGGGCCTGTGGATTCATAAGCTTATGTAGACCCAAAGCTGGGTCTGAAGTCATTGAATTGCAGTACGTTGAAATTCGCTATTTATATTTAACTCTGCAAATTCATAATCATTTTTAAAAATTCAAATTGATTACTTTTTGAGAATTGCAAGCAATTTATCAACTTGAGAACTAGGTAAACAAAATGAAAGACTAAATCATGTATCCTCTTTCCTGTGTGAACCACATCACTGGGTAACCAAATGGTAGACAAGGGGAAGCATCTCTGTATAAACTTACTCCAGCTAATAAATGAAAACAAAATAACATTATCAGAACATCATTATTGTGCAGCCCCTCATGAATTACTGGAAGATCAAAACAGAGTGGCAACAGAGAGAGAACCTAAGGAGAAAAAAATCAGAAGTCCCCCCAGTGGTCAGGGAAAGGCCAGTTGTGAAAACACACAACAATAATTTTAGTCTCAACAAGTATACATATGTGTGTATGTGAACACACACCTGGACAGGTGTAAACAATATGTGGGTACTTGATTGAGATAAATTAACTTTTCTCATGCTTTGGAAGCAGAACATTTCAATAAGCAAAAAGGAAATGAAAACCCTAACTTTAATCTTAAAAAATCTCTTCTTTTTTTTTCATAATAGACCCATCGAGCATGGATTGCCAAGCTGCATTTAATACAGGCATTTCGTTGCCAGGGCAATTCCATTGTCTTTTATATCTATTTTTGGTTTTGATCCTTGAGGCAACTAATATTCATTTTCAGGAAACAAACCTATGAAAATTATACCAACTTTTGTGCAACATGCAAAGTGAGTGCGTGCAGGTTCAGCATTTCCAGGCAGCGAAGTGTACTCTGCATTGCCCTCCCTGAATTCCCAACATCTGTGGGTCGGCAGGAGAACTAATTCCTCAGGAAAGAGCCCCTACCCTAATTAGATTTCACTTGGCTTATTTGTAAATCTCATTCACTGACTTAATGAGAAACAAAAGTCATGTGATAAAAGAGTCACGAGCAATAAAATGTTAACTAAATTTATACAGCAGAGGGCCTGAAATTTTCCCCCCATATCAGCAAAACTGAAATCCACAGTGGAAACAGGAATTGCTATAAATGGCTCAGACCTAGGCACGGGGACCTTTTTATATTCAGGATGTAGCTTACTCCTGAGAGAGCACACACCATTTAGGCATTTAAAGTGCTAGACATGTCCAAATCTTTACTAATTGGGAGCAGTAATAAGAGCTAAGAGTTATTGCTTACTTCCTATGTGCCAACCTATTCTAGTCATTTTAAATGCATTAACTCATTTAATTTCATGAAGCCAGGCTATTATTATTATTCCCATTTTATAGATGGGAAAACTGAGGCTCAAAAGGTAAAGGGAGTTATCCAAAGTTGCTCAGAAAATAATTGCCAATGATGAAGTCTAATCTCCAAGCCGAGAGAGTCAGATGCCAACACTTCCATTACTCCTAACACTTAAAAGTCGAGGGAGGGCTTCTCTGGCAGTCCAGAGGTTAAGAATCTGTCTGCCAATGCAGGGGACATGGGGTCAATCTCTGGCCTGGGAAGATCCCACAGGACACAAAGCAACGAAGCCTGTGCAGGACCACTACTGAGTCCATGCTCTAGAGCCTGGGGCTGTAACTGCTGAGACCACGTACTGAGACTGCTGAAACCCAAGTGCCCTAGAGGCTGAGCTCTGCAACAGGAGAAGCGACTGCAGTGAGAAAAGTCGCCCCCACTCGCCACAACCAGAGAAAGCCCACACACAGCAACAAAGATTCAGCACAGCCAGGCATAGGTAAATCATTTTTTTAATTGAGAGGAGTATGTTTTCTTTTTTTTTTTTAGTCAAAAACTAGCTTTTCGAATTATTATAGAACAATCCAAGAAGATGATTGCAGATTGGGATTCCCACGGATGTCAGCTGCGGCTTGACTACAGAGACTCCTTCAGCCATGTTTTTGATTGGTTTTATCAGAGTATCTGAATTTCAGTTAATGTCACAGGAGAGACAGGTCTTCACGTTTGTCGTAGGGGAGCCTGGGCTTCAGCACGTCATCCCTGACATGGCCTTGCACCTCTGTGAGGACGAGAGGGACGCTCCCAAGGGGCACGCCTGCAGTCTGGGTGAAAACAGGTGCTTTCGAGGACTAGGCTTACGCCCAAGTTAACAGCTTTACTGAGCCCTGATCTCACACAGTCACCCCAGGAGCCCTGAGAGGGTGGCACCATCATGGTCTCAGCTACTGGTTAGAAATGCCCTCGGTGGAAGGACACCCACGTCCAAGATGGACCAGGAATGTCTGACCCCCAGCCCCACATTCCTTCTGCTGCAGGGTTGCCCCTCTGCTGGGCCTTTGAGCTAAAGCTTTCAAGGGTATTCAAGCCCAGACAGAGAGAAAACGACTCTCATGTTGTCTGCTGCTGTGTCCCAGGCTGTGCAGGCACCTGGACGTGTGGTGCCCAGCCTCCTCTTCACTCTAGGACACCTCTCCCCTGGGACCGGAGGTCCCTGGGGATCTGTCCACCCAGCTCCCTGGCCGCAGATTGGACCACTCAGGTGATATCTTCCTGGAATTCTGTGTGGCAGTGGACAGCATGGAGCCAACACACGGACGCTTCCTTAGGCACCTAGAATGCCTGGTTCCAGGTACAAAGATGCCCGCTGCCGGCTGGTTCCTCCTTCCCAGAGTCTGAATGTTTAGTTCTTCTTTTGAGTCTCAAGTATCCTTCTGCTAAACCTTGTTCTTGTTTTTCACTCCTGTTTGGAAATTTAGCCAGACTCCTAGATGTGAATGCCAGAAACCCCAAAGGCCATTCACTGACCCTCCTAACTTTAGGAGGACTGACAGGGTAGGTCTGGCCTCAGTCACACCTGGACTGGAAGCTGTTGGGAGTCTGTCCCTTTCTTTCTTTGACACCAGGTGTCTTAATCTTGTTTTTGAGTAAAAAAGAACCCCAGCAACATCAGGTCTTATTGGTCCATGAAATGGGGGTCCCTGAAAAGGGAGCCATGCCTCCCAACGTTGCTGGGAAAGGCCTGGGGAGGACAAGGGTTGGCTTGGGATTGCCCCATGTCCATCTCTGTAGCCCTTGTTGTAGGAGGCGAGGGGCATAGGGTGCCCAGAGTGGTCGGGCCCAGGGCACACACTGTCCAAGGGCCAGGAAGCAGGGCCAGGCTTACCTGAAACGCACAGATTACTGTGGAATAAAATGTCAGCTCCAAAGGAAACGATGCCAGACATGCCCCCTCTCACATCATGCAAAAAACAAGATCACTCTCATTCCAACTAAAGGCCCCATCTGAGGCCACCGAATCCACTGTCAACAGCAGAGATTCTGAGATAAATCGGAGCCCAAGGACAGATGGAGTGCTCAAGGAGCTCCAGCAAAGACTATCCAGATCCAGTGGGATCTGGAGGGCTTGCATGGAACCGAGGGTGACCTCCCAGGCACCGTGAAGGATGGCTTTGGGCCCCGCCAGGCATCTTGCAAAGGCCCACCTACCCTCCAGGCTGGAGTGCTTCCAGTGGGTGAGCAGTGGGGAGATGGTCCAGAAAGAGCAGTGCATCCAAGTGACGGTCACCACAGAGGGACAGGAAGAGAGCCCTGCAGAACCAAGGAGCCGGATCCAGCTGCTAAGCCAGATCTTCCCTGGGGAGGGGCTGACTCCACACCTTTCAGGCAGAAAGAAGACACTAGTGTCCCCAGGGAGGACACCAGCCCAGCCTGGGGGGCCCAAGGAGGCTCCAGTTGGGAGCCTCTGGCCAAAGCGGTGGACACTCATGGCATGAGTATGACTTCCCAGGCATGGGGGCAGGTGTTCAAGGGCCACAGGGGTCTACTATGCCCGCCCACCCACCCACCTGCTAGCCCCTGGCCCACCCTCCACCACCTCAACTGGGACCTCTTCCCATCGGGCAGTCTTTGCCGTCTGCACACCACAACCACACACACAGGAAAACGTCTAGTTTCTTTTGTTAAGAAACTCACTTTTTAAACCTTAATGTGAGTTTGATCTGTGAGAAATGTTTTTACAATACAAAAGCACGTGTCAGCCACATTAGAGCCTGAGGCAAAAATACTGATCCTGCCCTGGTTTTGTTCATCGTGCATTATTTTTTGCATTTTTATTTTTCAAGTGCTGCATTCAAGTCGTATTTATCTTGATGACTGGCTTGTTTGGAGCCTCCTTAAATTTTGCACCCATGGCTCATGCCTCACCTGCCTCCCTCAGCCCCTTCTCTGCATCATCATTTAAACAAAGCTTTAAGATCCGCAGGCGTGTATCACCGAAGCTCCCCTTCATCCTGCACGGTCAGAAACACTCATTTCACCTGCCTAAAATAGAACCAGTGACACAGATGAACTTTTGTGAGTCTTCTGGTCCAAATCCCTTGTGTCCAAGCCCAGGGCCCACAGGCATCTGAAAGCAACGCCAGCCAGGGCCCAGGTCTGACAAGCACCACCCTCCACCCAGCCCCTCCATCGCCTGATGAATCGGGGATGAAAAAGGAAGTCAGGGCTGTGGCCTCAGCTTTCTGCCAGCTTTGCTTCATTTCTGGAGGAGCCAACCATCTCTGGCCAAGGAGGGAATCATAAATTCCACTGGGAAGGAGCCTGGAGCTCCTGAGCCGTGGCCAGGGCAGCCCCTGGGGAGTGCGAGCCTGGCGGGAAGAAGTCACAGCAAGTGCCCCTTCCGCCTCCCCACGCCTGCGCCCGGCATTTTTAGGCAGTGACATCACAGCACAGAGACCACCCCTGAAAGGAAAAACAAGTCACAAAGAGGGCAGGGGGCAGTAGGAGGGGAGAAGCCAGCCCTCCTTTGCCTTGGTGAACACAGTCAGCTCAAGAAGGAAGAATTCTCTGGGTTATAAGGGTGTTGCTTTAGGCTCAGGCCTGGGTGCCAGGCCCAGGCTGACCGTGAGACACATCGCCTCATTTAAGCCCCCCGAGGAAGGTGCTATTTCCATTTTATACACAAGGAGAGGTTAAGCGGCTAAGAGAGGTTACGTAATTTGCCCAAAGTCTCTCCCTCAAGAGAAAGTGGAATCAGGATTCAGGCTCAGGTGGCCGCCTGTACAGACCCCCTGTGAGCAGACTGGCAAGAACCCCAACTGAAGAAGTGCCACCCCCTCTGCCTGTCGGGAGCCCCAGGAATCTGGGCCAGAGGCCAGATGTGTGTTCCCCAAACTCCTGACTCCAAGAGTCCCAACGCCCAAACCCCCATTCTTCCAAGCGGGGGCCCCTTCCCTCCATGGGCCTCTTGCTCCCCACCTCCCACCCACCGTCAGACTCCCAGACACCCCTCCTTCCCAGACTTTCTCTTTTACCAGATCACTTGAAATATCTGTGTGGCTGGGTCTGTGCCCCAAGCTTGCACCCTTTGTGCCAGAAAGAAGTTGGCCCTGAGCGGATGAAACCCAAGATAGATCTGTCCACCCACGTGTGAGATTCCTGCAGAATTATGTTCATTTTTTGGTAGGGAGAGGGGGGCTTAAATATTTCTGATGGGACCGGACCAGGGCTGGCAGGAACCTTTCTCTGAATGGGCCCTCCACCCAGACACTCCATCTCACAACTTATCAATTAACTGTCAATGAAGAACCCACATTCCTGCTCAGCCAAGAGAGGTACAACCCCCAGAATGCATACAGTACTCCTTTCCAAAAGTAGGAAAAGAAGCTTTCCTACTGCAAAGCCCATTTCCTGCTCAGACCAGGTGGAAAATCTGCTAAACTCAAAAGGTCAAACCTAGTTTAATTTTATACCCTTTTGTTAAGAATGTTCCCTTAAAAAAAAAAAAACCTTCATGTTTCTTTCCAACTTTTCAAAAGTTAATTCATGTGGAAGAAAAAAAAAGATTAGGATAAAATTTCAAATATTAAATTCAAATGCAGGATTAATGACTTTTATTTCTAAGCCCAAGAGGTTGTCTGGAATTCAGGACATTTTTGGAGTAGTGGAGACCAGACATAACCAGATGCGGTTGTGTTTTGGACCAAGTCAGCACAAATTTCATACCTTGAAAGATTATATCCACGTCCGTCTTAATACAAACAGTCCCCCCCTTTCACAAAACTCTCCATCCAAAATGAAGCCAGAGCCATCGACTTGAAGACAAAGACTAAACACTTTCTAAATGTAAGTGAAAGTAGCTGATGACTGCAAACCTGTATTAAATACCCCTTACCCGGTGCAATTTAACCATTCCTCCACATCTCCCCTCATACCCTCCTCAAATGCACAGGCACCCAAACAGAGGCCAGTGGGATGGGGGAAATGGCTAATCTGAATGAAGAAAAAAACAGCCTTTCCATAGCGTACAATTTCCCTGAGTTACTAACTACTGTGATAACATACCTGGTAAGGTATCTCAAAAGTCTGAAGGTACTGAACAACCTCACTTGTGGGCCCCTGGTTAGTTTCCAGCCAAAGCAGTTTGGATTACTTAGGATAAAGTCTAAACTGAGGTTGAGATGATTTAGCCCAGTTCACAGATGAGCCTCATAAAATAGCATCAGGACCTGAGTGCACACAGAATGGACAGTGCGCAGTGAGGAGGTGCCGGCTGGCTGAGGGTCCAGAGCTGGCTGCAGGAAGAGTGTGGTCTGAGGAACATAAGCATGCCTTGAAAAAGAGCCCCGTGACCTAATGCGTTTGGAAAATACTTCACACTCTAAGACCAGAGCCAGCAAACTACAACTCAAGGGCCAAGTCTGGCCTGCCACTTGTTTTTATAAATAAAGTTTTATGGGCACAGGGCCATGCCCATTTATTTCCATATCATCTATGGTGCTCTTAGGTGACAACAGCAGAGCTGAATAGGCACAACAGAGACAATGTGACCTGCGAAGCCTCAAATATTTACCAGCTGGTACTTTAGAGCTATGATTTGCTGACCCTGCTCTAAAGCCATCTCAGAGATTCACAAATCGCATCAGCACACTAGAGACTCCAAGAAATTCAACAGCAAGGAAATCTATTCCACTTTGCTTAGCATAGTATTTCACAAGCATATTTGATTAAAATAAAAACATTTTTCTCCCCATGAGATACGCATCAGTTCCTCTCATAGAATGTGCTTCACACGCATTTTGGAAAACACTGGGTGTGTGTGTGTGTGTGTGTGTGTGTGTGTGTGAGTGTGCCAGAAGGAGACATGTTAACATAATCTTCTCTTTACAGGGGAAACGCTACACATGCTTTCAGATACTTGGTGGTCAAATAGGCAGTGGACACAAAAATATTGTCAAAGTGGTTCTACAACCAGCTCTGCAGATGGATTTAACCACACCACAGCCACACACCCAAATAGAATGGCTCAATTTGTTTGAAGGGAGACAAAAGACTTGATGTCAAACGATTTGACTGTTTCCAAGACAGACATCTCCTTGTTATTAAAACATCAGATGAGTAGCTTCATGACAGGTCCCCATGGGGAGGAGGAACAAAGAGGAAGCAGATGCTGGACTGTATGCTCCCCAAATTCCCGTGCAGCAGTCCTAACCCCAGCACCTCCAAGCGTGGCTGTATTTGGAGACAGGTCTTTAGAGAGGTGATGGAGTCAAAATGCGGTCACTGGGGCGGGGCCTGATCCAATAGGACTGGTGTCCTTGTGAGAAGTGCAGGTTAGGGCACAGGCGTGCACAGACCAGTTGAGGACACAGGGAGCAGATGACCCTGATACGCCAAGGAGAGAGGCCTCAGGAGGCACCACCCTGCCGACACGTGATCTGTCTTCCCTGCCTCCAGAACTCAGAGAACGTAAATGTCCTTTAAGCCACCCAGACTGTGGTGCTTTGTTGCGGTTGCTCAATCAGACCAATACAGCCAGCAGGGCTTTTGAGCAGAGAGCTTATGAAAGGCAGCTGATAGCTCATAGCTACCTGCTATGAGAAGTGCCCCATGGCTAAACTTCATGCAGTCAGCCTACAGTGAGAGCGGAGTTCATTGCTCCAGGATGGAGTTCAATGGGAGGCAATTAAATTATTGCATTATGTAATTTAAATTATACAATATAATTATTATAGATTATGATATATAATAATTAAAAGAGCTATAGACACAGCAACACCACAGGCTCTACTCCAGGCACAAACTGGGGGCTCTTCTTAGGCCGAGACAGGCAAAAATCAGGTCTTTATGCACTGATTTATTAATCATTAAACAAATATGAAGTACCCACATGTTAACAGATTCATCAGTTGGGCAGCCATGGTCTTTGCCTTCCAGGGGCTACAGCCCACGAGTGTGCCCAGTACAGTGCAATACAAAACGGTTGAGTGGACCCCATTCTGCGGTTCAGGGAAGTTATCCCCGAGGAAGGGGTGTTCAGAGGGGATCCAAAGGATGAGCTCCAGAGGCAGGGTGGGCGAGGGAGGAGGGTGTGCCAAGCAGACGGAAAGTGCAGAGAACCTGAGGCAGGACAGAGCAGTCGTCTGGCCAGGGGTCTAAGAGGAGGCCCTGCCGTCAGAGAACGAGCTGGGAGAGGCGGGCTGAGATGCTGGAGGGTAACCCCTGCTCCCCTTTCTTGACTTTCCGATAGGATCCACAAAGCCAAACAACATAGCCTCACCAGCTGGGGGAGGCCTCCTCGCTTTGGCCCAGGGGCCGGGTGGAGTCCTCCCTGGGCCGGGCTAGGAGCTATACCAGCTCCAAGTCTTGGCTCAGCAGACCCACTTCCTTGCTCACTTCCGAGCCCAGCGTGTGGGAGCAGAGCTCTGCTCCCCAGTAACCGGGCACTTCCCTCTGTGTCTGGGACTTCTTCAGTGCATCTCTGGCGCTGCAGGTCAGTCCACGGCCACAGCCAACCCCAAGGGAGGCTGGGCTATGGAGGCTGAGCTGTGGTGGTGGCGGTTTCTCCACGTAGAAGAGCAGGGCTCTCTCCGCCTCTGATATGGGAGGTGGGGAGGGCCTGCAGCTCACCTCTCTGCTGCGGAGGAAGCTCTGGCCATAGGATGGCCAGCTCCGGGGAAGGGCTTTTTGGGCGGGGGTCTGCCCACCAATCACACCACAGGGGTCTCAGGGGGCCTCTTCCTGCTCACAGGGAGCTGTCTCCAGTCTCCAGGCTGGCCGACCCTCTATGGGGTCGGTGGGGGGGCTGCTCAGAGACCTCTTGGGTTTGACTCTTGAACACATCGAAAGTATCTATGAAAACAGCTCTGCACAAGTGAACTCACCTCCCGTGAAACAGGCACCATAAAGTGCGGAGCACAGCACCCACACAGGACAGGGCTGGATAAGCCCCAGATACATCATGAGACGGTTGGATGGCATCACCAACTCAGTGGACTAGACTTGGGCAAACTCCAGAGATAGTGAGGGACAGGGAGGAGGCCTGGCATGCTGCAGTCCAAGGGGTCACAAAGAGTCTAACACAACTTAGCAACTGAACAACAACACATTATGTAGTAGAATATAAATCCATAAATGTCATCTGATGGTCTCACTAGAGGACTGCTTTTTTAGTTATTTCAGTTGCTTTTCTTAAACCTAGAGGTTGGTCTCTGTGGTTTTTACCATCTCACCCATTGGTTCCAGGAAACTCCCTGGAGAATCTACTCCTTTCCTCTTGGAGCACCAGCCTCTAGTGATAAGATCCATGTATATTCTTGCCCCAAATACTGCTTAAGTGCCACGGACGTAGTAAAGGTTACTGGTTAAAAGCGTGAACTCCAGAGGAAGACTGACAAAGTAAAATTCGAGCTCTGGACACTAACCAGCTGTGTCAGCTTAGGCAAGTCACTCAACCCCTCTGAACCTCATCTCCTCAGATACAAGGCAGGGATGACTGAAGTACCTACTTCATAGGGTTGTTGTTAGGATTTAAAGACTCACTCTACTCGGTTACTGGAACAGGCACATAGCAAGCATGGTGTGTTTTCTAATACTATTATTACATGGAGCTTCTGGGAACTTGCTCAGATAATACACATATCACATATTATATACAGACGGGGGCCCAGGAGTGAGCACTAGTGTCATGTTTATTATGGTCACAAGTGGCCCATTACCTGAACTGATCAGTTTCTGAGTCAGAACAGTGAGAGTGTCGATGGTGGATGCAAGTGTAGTGACCAGTCTGTTTCACAGCCAGGCAGGGCCTGGGCAGCCCCCCACCCCCATCAGCATGGCGTGCTCCCTGGGGGCCCACGAGGCCCAACAGGCCATCAGGGCAAGAGGAACAGACATTCCCACAGGCGCCGCTGGCAGGACGGCCGGCGAGCCGGAGCCAGGGGGCCTGGAGTCAGGCCCGGCTGAGGCAGGGGAAGTCTGCGACGTGCCCATTTGTTCCCCTGCCTCGGGGTCACAGCAGCTGGAACAGGCCAGCTTGCCTCAAGCCATAGGCCCTCAATCTGTCATGACACCCCAGGAAAAAATACAGCGAAATACTGTTTTTTCATCCCGTTTATTACCCTAACAAGACTTAACCCGGAAGTTCCGTTGGCGCTGAGTGGCGAGATGCTGCCATGCCCGTGGCGCCCAGTGAGTCCGTGGCACGAGAGCGCTGCAGGGCCCCCAGTCCTGGTGGCCCGGCCTGCTCTGGTGAGACAATGGGCACGGGAGGAGCCCGGCCACAGGGGGACCTCTGCCCTGCAGTCTCTACGGCCCCGCCCCTGCCCCACAAAGGCTGCCATCACGCTGATGTCAAGGGACTCCGTGGCGTGGCGTCACCGTGCTGGGTGGGGCCACCGCTTGGGAACCCAGAACCAGAAGTTAGCTGCTTCTGGGCTGATCCTCGGACCAGATTCAAGGGGGGACTGTCCAAAAGCTGTGCCCCTCTTCCACCGAGAGCTGGTGTCTGCCCGCCGCTGTGGTGGGAGCCCTGGCCTGAAGACGCAGTGAGCAAACAGTCCATGAAGTCAGCGACTGCCCTCTGAGTGTCTGTGGGTCCTGCCACTGCCTGGGTCCTCCAGGATCAGGTCGGAAGTGTTCCAGAGATCCCAGTAAGTGCACCATGAGGCCTATGCCCGAAAGGTGCTCTTGTGCTGCTTTTTACCCTGTCCATGGGCCACGGCTCTTAGGAGAAACAGCACAGGGTGCATTCCCACCCGGAAGGCTGCATCACACGGGGTATTATTTCCCCCATAGCTGAAGCTCCCTGGGCTGGAATAGGGAAAAAAGGCAACTTAAGAGGATGCGTGGCTCACATTATCTCCACCACTGGGGAGCAGGATGAGGGGCGCAGTGGCCAGGAGTCATTCCCCAAATCACGCCAGACAGCGGGGACGAGGGGGCCCCGGCGGCTGTGCCCCTCCATGAGAGCTTGCACCGTGCTACAAGCTGGCTTCGCTGTACTAAACAGAAACCAGGACATCAGTATCTGAGATGAGCCGTCTGTAAAATTTGGTTTTCTCCCACAAAGGGCTGAGTTCCACTCTTTGAAACCACCGAGCTCCCCTCTCTGCCAGCAAGTGTGGGGTTCGTCCTCGTGAGTTGTGCGGGTGTATGCACCGAGTGTATGCTCCGAGCCACAGGGACGACACACAGAGGGTGGTGGACGTGGCCCCTCCCCATAGGGACAGACACCAGGGGCTGTGTGTGTCCATCGGAGACTCCCGGACCTTGGGTGTCACGGTTTACAGGAGAACAGGAGTCAGCTGTCACCGCGCCCCTCATGGGGCCGTGTGTGCTTGGCAAGCATGGTGTTGGGGGACGCCCCACCCCTCCCAAGAGCACTTCCCAAGGGCCCTCTGTCCTGGAGGGATACAGAGTGGCTCAGTCTGGCTTCTGTCTCTGATTTCTGCCCCCACCCCTCAGCACCTTACTACCTAGGAGTAAATACCCTAGGCAGTTCATTTGTCTCTAAGATAACATTTTTCAAGCACTCTCCAGGTGCTAGGCACTGTTCTAAGGACTTTACAAGCATTAACTCCACTAATAACAACCTTAGAGGTAAGTACTCTTACTCATTGCATCTTACAGATGAGAAAACTGAGGCCCAGAGATGTCAAGGGACTTGCCTGAAGTAACACAGTGACTTAATGGTACAGCCTAGATTCCAACTCAGATATCTGGGCTCCAGAGCCTTCGCTGGTAGTTGCATAAGCACAGGCTGATTGATTAGGATGTGAGGACCATGTTGGAAATATGGGAAGGTGGAAAGTGACACATAGGTCAGTAGCTCCGGCTAAGCCAGCAAATTTTTTTAAATATTTCCAACAGGTTCCAATCCACTTGGCCTGGGGTGGGGCCCAGGAATCAGTACTCTTTAAGACTTCCCAGGTGACCCCACCATGCCGCCAGGTTGGAGAGCCTCAGCTCTTGGAAAGAGGCTCACCGCACACATGCTACGCAACCCTGGGCTATGTGCTTAGCCTCTTGGCCTTAGCCTCCACATCTGGGGAATAGGAACACTGTGGCTTTGGTGACTGCAAGGAGCCTCAGGTGCACACAGCCGGCAGGGGCCTGCCACACACTGCTGGCTCCTATCACGAAGCACAGGAGCTCTTGGCACCCAGGCAGAGATGGGCATACCAGTCTGCTTGGGCGGCCGTAACAAAGCTCCACAGACAGGGGCTTGATCAATCCACGGATTGATCCTCTAACAGTTCAGAGACTGAGATCAAGGCCTCCCTGGAGTGTAGACGGCCGTCTTCGCCCCATGTCCTCCTACGGGCGTCCCTCTGTGTGTCTGCATCCCCTCTCCTTATGAGGACACTGGTCACAGTGGATCAGAGCTCATTTTAACTCAGTACCTCTGCGGAGGCCCCGTCTCCAAATACAGTCAATCCTGAGGTCCCAGGGCTAGGGCTCCAAAACGTGAACTTTCGGGGCGGGGGAGGGGAGGGTGTCACAGTTCAGCCCAGAACATGGACAGAACCTGTTCTGAGGGGCTTTCTTGGGCACACGGCTAAGAATCCAGAATCTCACACCACAAGGTGTGTGGTTCTCACTTGAGAGCATTTGACAATTTCTGAGCCTGGGTTCCCGATCTGGGCTTTGCCCCTGCCAGCCCTCCGAGGGTTAATCCAAAGGTCTCTGGTGTTGGGGGGATTTACTGCCCCCCGGACCTTTATCATCTCACCCTGACGTTGAGGGCTCACATTTCCCACTTAATTACTTGTCCTGCAATCAGAAGAGATAGCTGGCTCTGTGCTGAGTTGGCTGCAGCTGTGAACTGTTTATTTACTTTTCCTCAGCCCGAGAATGGCTATAATTTAAAGGTTCAGATCTCAGCTACCCTGCCTGGTGCAAACCCCGCTTAAACACTTCCATATTGCTCGGGTGGAATGCGCTGGAAGCTGCCCCCACGCCCCTCCCTGGACAGAGAGCACTGAGGAGGCAGGTGTTCCTGGTTATGGAGGCCTCAGGGCTGGGGAGGGAGGACGCTGCCCACCGTGACTGCCGATTCAACCGCCCACCCCAAGAGCTCGCGGGAAACCTAGAAGCCAGAGTCAGCGTGAGGACCGCAAGATGGCAGAACGGACTGGCCCCAGACCACCCCACTCCCGCCACAGTGGTCGCGGCCACAGTGGAAGCCACCGCTCTCACTAATTCCTGCGCCAAATGGTGTAATTACCACTGAAGTTGTCAAATGGCATCCAGATGGTCTCGCCTTTCACACCAGCAGTTTAATAAGCTTTTAGGCGTGACCTTGGCAGCTTGTGCTCCACCTGCACACCCCCCGGTTTGTGAAATCCGAGCGCACAATTAGATCAGATAATGAGTGCCCAGGCCACCAGCCTTGAACTCTGCAAGCCCTCTTCAAGGGGCGCCCAGAGAGTCACCCCATGCCACTGACAAATGGCATGTGTCCCACCACAAACGGAGGGCCCCTGTGCACGGCCCCCAGAGGCCTGCTGGGGAGATCACAGAGACCCTGAGGGGCCCAGCAGCACATGTAGGGGGCCAGGCAGCTTCCCGGCAAGCTGTTTCAAGAGCTGAGTTCTGGCAAACCAGAGCCTTGAGCCTGGCCATCTCCTCTGAAGCCCCAGGCAGCCCATCAGGGAGGAACTGTTTCTAATGCTGCCACCCCATCAAGGAGGAACCCCAGCATGGGGGCCACCTGCCACCACAATGCTGCCCCTTCGAATACCTCGAGCCTGAGTAACTCCAGAGTGAAGATTTCCATGACCGTGCACTGAAGAGTCACATTTCACTGTCGTTTTGAAAAGTCAGTTATTCTTCCCCAGCGTGGGATACACTGCTCTGGTGCGCACACAGCTGATAGGCCTACAACCAGCACCAATCCCGGGGCTTCACACACACTGACTCATCTAATCCTCAAACAACCTAGGTGCTGCTTTTATCCTCCATTTATAGATTAGAAAACTACAGAGAGGGTAAGTAACCTGCCCATGGTCACACAGTTAGGGAGCGGCAGGAACCAGATTTGAACCCAGGTAAGGAAGCAGACATCATGAATGCACACAACTACAATCCCATTTGCATAAACAAGTAATAGTTATCATGTCATTGTTATGTCTATAGGAAAACAAGCTACATATTTTAAAGTTTAAGGATTTGTGCAGAGGTTTAGAAAATGGCAAATAGCCCAAGAAGAGCCCCCACACTGATAATCTCGGTGCTCTGCCAAACCCGAGAAAACGGGTAGATTGAAAGAAAAGAGCAAATCAGAAGCTTTCATTGTGATGGGCTGGTGCAGAGGGCAACCGGAGAGGAGCCAGACACTTGAGCTCTTGGCCCGGGAGAGAGGTTTCTGTGGGACAATCTTGTCCCCAACCTTTGCCAGGTCTGGTTCCCGCAGACCTCAGAGAACTAGGGGAGGCCAAAGCCCAAAGGGAAAATGCAAAATGTCTTTGTTCCGACTCCCTCAATGCATTTGACTCTTTCTAGGGCATCAACATTCCCCTCACAGGCATCCTGGGTTTTAATGGTCCCATCTCAAGTTGGCATCAAAAAACTACTCTTAAGACTGTACCGCTATTCTTACTAAGATGTGAATGACTGACATTTAGGAAAACAAGATTGCCGTTCAGGTAACCACCTTAAGGTCAATTTGGCTTTTCAAATAAAGACACTTTGAGAAGACTCAAGACAAACATGATGCATGGAAAAGTCATCATTTTTGCTAAAATAATGGGAGGGACACAATGGCTTTTTAAAATGTCTCTGCAAACAGCACGGAATGTAGGGCAAAGATGATGTGACTTGAGGTGAGCAGACACCCAAGGACCATGCCTGGCCAGGCTGTGCTCTTGGTCCACACTGCTGGGAAGAGGAGTCTCTTCTGTTCAGATTCTGGGACAGAAAACTTTGAGGAAGCCTACATTATGTAAGTGGTTCATTAGGGGTGACATCACCTGGCAGGTCACAAAGTTACTCCAGCATGAGCTGGGGGGTTCCTGGCCACAGCATGAGGACTCCAAAGCCACCGCTATGAGACACATGCAAAAGACCAATCTGTCTCAGAACCCTCCTGGCCCAACTAGGCGTTCACAAATGGGACATCAGTGGTGGACCCACCTCACCATCCAGGGTGTGTCTGCATGTGTGCTGGTATGCACAGGTGTGCATGTGCATGGGTATGTGTGTGTTATGGGTCCAAGTGTGTGGATGTGATTGAATACGTGTATGTGCATGTGAGTGTGTGTGTGTTCCTCTCAAGAGAAAAAAGTCTCAGGAAGACAGCATGAGACCATTTGGTCAGCCACCATATTTCACGTTTTATGCACCCCTGCTTTGGGAAAACATAAGCCAATAAACGTGAAAGGCCCAGCTCAGAGCCTGCAGCTTTCTGCTTTGGTTAACAGAAACCCTGGGATGAGAGATTACTGTGAGATTCTGACAACAAAGCAGAAAGTTCATAAAAGACAAGGACCCAAACTCTGAGGATTCCACTAGGCTCCCCTTCCTGCTGACTCTCAGAAAAGGGCATAGGA